TGCATAATAAGGTGGTGACAAATTTTCATCTTCATCCTTCTCAGGCCCAGAACCGTGCTGCATACTACTCCGCCAACCAGCTGGCCCAGCTCCGCCCCAGCCCCCGTTGGGCCACACAAGGAGTGCGTCCTCAGCGTAAGTGGTCGTTTGTATTTCATTTCATTCTATGCATTCGGAACTGAATCATTTGGTCCATTCTGTGAATTGTTTGCAACCTAATGCTCTAACGGAACTGTTAATGAGCCACCCCATTTGCCATTGAAATGTATGATTTCTAACTACATGAGCATGGATCTTAATTTTTTTCTTCTTCCCTCAGACTTCCAAAACATGCCCAATGCTATGCGCCCATCAGCACCAAGGCCCCAGACCTTCAACACCATCCGTGCTGCAGCTACCACCAACACACAGGTCCCACGCATGATGGCTTCCCAGCGTATGCGTAAGTGTTTCGTCTTTCACATCATAGAAATCAGCTGTATTTTGTTTCCCTGTCAATGCCAGTTAATCAGTTGACACTGTTTTGATCAAGTGCTTTTTCCCAACCTTCTTTACCTCAGCCACTCAAGCACTCAGCCAGCGCCCTGCCAGTGCTTCAGCCACCGCTGCCCCCGTGCGCGCCATGCCCCAGTACAAATATGCTGCTGGTGTGCGCAATCCTCAGCAACACATGGCCTCCCAGCCACAGGTCACCATGCAGCAAGTAGGAATACTAATAACTTTCATTTTATCAGTATAAGGCTATAGAAAAACATCAATGCTGTTAACTCATGAACATAGTGATTGCAAATTGGTTTAAAAATGTACAACTACTGGAGATTTTATAAGAAAGCTAATGAGGAGTGTAGTGCTTTTGATGATCAAAAATGTGAAATTGTAAACATTCAACTTTTACTTTACACAATGTAGCATGTTCTTTTTTTCTCACTAATCCAAAAAATAATCTAAAAAAACAAGTGATTGTTTGTGGAAACGTAATCTGTTAAAAAGACCTGAGTAGTGATCAAGGTTTGGTAGACAAATGCAGGTATAATTTTTGCAGGCACTTTTGCTGTGTCAAAATAGATTGCCGTCATTACTTATTAGTTGTGATTGTTGCTGTCAGTAACTTCAAAATCTGGCTGAAATTTGTGCCTGGACTCAAGCCTTGTTTTCCCACTTTAGCCAGCGGTCCATGTCCAGGGACAGGAGCCCCTGACTGCCTCCATGCTGGCTGCTGCCCCCCCTCAGGAACAGAAGCAGATGCTGGGTTAGTAAAAGATCTGCTCAGATCTTCAAGGAACACAGCAACAAGGCTGTTGGGAATCAAATAGAATTCTTCTTAGCCTGATTTACTTTATTAAAGTTAATGAAATGGTTGTTGACTGTTCTTCTACCTTTCAGGTGAGCGTCTGTTCCCCCTGATCCAGAACATGCATCCCAGTCTGGCGGGCAAGATCACTGGTATGCTTTTGGAGATCGACAACTCAGAGCTGCTTCACATGCTCGAGTCACCCGAGTCGCTGCGCTCAAAGGTCAGCTAATTTGTGCCTCTTTGAAATATTTGTTCCTCTAAATTGACATGATGGTCCCTATGTGAAATGTTCACAAAGTTTGATTGTATATAGCATAGGCTATTTATCTTTTTGAATGGTTTAATGGGAAATACTCCATATGCTGTGGTTCAGTAAATCCGTTTTTGTTTTAGGTGGATGAGGCTGTTGCTGTGCTTCAGGCCCATCAGGCTAAGGAGGCTGCTCAGAAGTCCACCACCCCTGCTGGTGTTCCCAGCGTCTAAGGTCTGTGGGAAGGAGGGATTAATATGCTCCCAATTATATAGGTTGTGGATAACACTAATGAAAAGAAAATACATAGTAGTATATTACAGTATGTCATTATTCAACGAACTGTATTGTAAACATTGATGTCTCTTTTTTTGTCTTACAGATAGAGCATTTTGAAACCTGCTTCACCGATGGAAAAAGAGAAAAAAAACTTAAACATTGAAAAACCTAAAACTCTGAAAACATCGCAAAATGATAAATTATTTCTTAAAAAAAGAAAACAATTGACTCTGCCAGGTCTAGGAATGGTTTGACTAGACCTTGATCATAAACAAAAATTTGTTGAAAAAAAATAGAAAAATAGAGAAAATTGTAAATTTGATTGCATTCCTCTGTTTTATGTCATTTTACTGTCAGTGCTCAGAATATCAGCCATGTTCAGGAAGGTGGTAGCTGAGCATTATGGAAGGTGATTTGTATCGTAAACTACTGGCTGTAATAAATTGTCGTTAAAAAAAAATTGCGTCTGTTTAATGACTTTTCAGCAGTGATAGCATGCAAACTATTGACAAACATTTAATTGTGAACATGAGAAAATTTTCTTGACAGAGTTGTGCTATTTGGGGAGATGTTTTCCTAAGAGTTGCTGTTTGCAGTCATGTGTAGTGGTCTCATTTTTAAATGTGATGGAAAATACTGCTTTCCACCAGGTGTCACTGTCATTTAGTGGTCAGTGAACTGCATAGATGTTACCTTGAATAATTTGAACCTGTACCTCATATTGTAGCTGTGTGATGTATCACTCATATTTGTTTTCTTGGAATAGACGAAAACCTACATCATATACTAATGAGGTATGTTAATTGTATTATTTAGTGCATACAGTGAACTTACATCACCATGGTGAAATGGCTACATTGTATGCAGTCCTGATTTGCATAGATGACAGTGTTTATAGAAAGTGGGACAGATTTACGTAGAGAATTGAATGGCAGCAGCTCACTTCCATACAATCTTGAATCTTACTGTAGAGTGCTGTTTTCTATAGGCAGGCTTGTTAAGTTTTTAATTTTTCAACAAAACTTTCCACCAGGATAAATACTTCATTCTGTGATACTTCAGGCTTCAGAACTGTTGATCAAGGAGGAATTGGACAAAGTGAAAAGAGGACAATTAAGGTTAATGGGTGACTGCATTTTTTTTTTTAATTTTTTTTTTAAAATCCTGTCTTTAAACATATTTTATATTTAGACCAGGATAGTTAGTGTGGCTTTTTTTGTTTATGTAAATGAGTGTGAAACCATGTGTGAAAGCCCTTCTCCATCCACTGTGAAGAAGGGACTGTACCCCCCAGTTGTCATGTGTCCTTGTTTCTGTTAGTGACCGTCTTCTGTTTATTCTATCTGTCTCCAAGCTTCTACAGTTTTTTTTCCTCTTTACCTTACCAGCTTTGTTTACTTTGCTGCACTTAAAATAGTTCAGTCATAAATATTAATAGCAGTGAAAATACCATTTCAGCCCATCTTCCCTCACTGAAACATACAAGCAAAGCATGCGACGTCTTGGAACCAACAAAGCCAACAAGTATCTACAGGATGAGGCATTAGGCCTTGAAGGAATATGGTAACAGCTGTTTCTTCCTCTCATTTATGGGAAACATGCTGTCAACCCAGTCTGCTTCGTGCCTGCTATTGATGTTTTTTCTTTTGTTTTTCTGAAATCTTTAAATTCAATCCTTATGCATTATCCTCAACCAAATATAAGAATACTATAGAATATGACCTGGTTTTCTATTGATACTCTAATCTACAAAGGGGACCTTTCACATGTAGTCTTTATTCAGACAGTGGAAGGAAAGGAAGTTGACTATGAAGACACCACTGTATGCAGCTTTATAGGGACAGCAGGCCTGTTCAGTGTCTCCCTCTGAAACTTCAGCACGACTGGCTCAAGAATGGCTTTAAACTGGACCAGACTGTGAACATATTTTAAAACCTGATACAGTACATTGCTGACCCAAAACAACTTTCCCAGGGATTTCATAGGATTATCCAGCTTTGACTCTAATGATGTTTGGTCATGTCTGTTTATGGTTCACAAAGCGAGGATTTTTTTTATTTTTTTTTGAGTAAATTCCTTTCATCTTCACTGTTTGATAGGTCCATATAAAGCACCATCAGTACAAAATGTGCCTTCTGTTCTCAGAGGATTCTTTATGCTGGTTCTCACGCTTCTTATTCATTTTTGGCTGATGAGGCTGTTGTGGAAACAGATTACAAAGTCCTGAAGTGTGTACATGAACACTTTGGTAACTACAGAATGTCCAGCATGTGTGTGGATTTTGCGTAGATTCTGAGCTGTACCTATTGGTAAAAAAAAACCCTCGGCTTACCCTAGATTCCTGCTATCACATGTTTTCCACAGTTTGTTTCTGTTTGTTTTGGTTGGCTTTCCTCCCTAATTAGGCTTTGCTGTAAGGAATACTTGCTTCAAGTAAACAGAGTGTTTGTCAGTGTAGGATCTAAGTGGCTGTAATAATCAGCACTGTAAAATTCCACTGCTTCGTTCGTCACTTCCTCTGGTGTCTCTTTAAATAATGATAAACGCACTGAGAGCTATCATGTAATCCTCTCTAGCTTGGATTAGGTTTGACTGTCTGGAGCTTCCCTGTCTGCCAGTTCACCAGCAACATCTTTCATGTACTACAGTATGTGCATAGTGATCCTATTCCTACTCAAGCCGTATTAAGAATAAAAAAAGGGAGTTTTATATATTTATGTAAGGCAAGGGATGTCCTTTATGAGCTCTTATCAGGTCAGCGTTAATGTACATATATATTGCACTCTAGTACACCATATTAGTCATATTCCATAACACTTTTCTTCATACTTGACAGTTCAAATTAATTTAATCTCTTTGGGATTTTATTTATTATTTTAAAATTAATTATCTGTATTCATTATTTTACTAAATGGCATAGATTTTATGTAGCAAGCCACTTTGTTTATTCCACACAATAAATGTTGCGAAGGAAATGTTGGATTTTCTTTCTATGTGATATAAATGCAAGTAATTCCTAAGTAATAATATTAATTTTCTTTACTTATGAGTTAGTCAACTGACTTTTAACAATGTGGCAAACGAAAGTGTGGCGGTAGTGTAGTGGTTTGGCCTAAATCTCGCGATGTGATTTGAATTTCTGAGCTAGAACGGGAATAGCGAACAACAGAACGAGCTCTTAGGAGCTGTTGTCGTTCGAAACGGAGCGGATAGGTGGGACCGAAGACGGAGGAAAATAAGTGCCAGTACCAGTGGGGAAGTAATTCACGACACTGCAGCGAGACCAGCGATTAATTAGTTTAAACGTTTTTGAAAAGCTGAGCGCTACTTCTTTGTTGCTGTCTCAGGAACAAGTGTCACTAGCAACAGACGGTACGTTCTCATCGTTTCTAGCTAACCTTGCTAGCCAGCTGCTAACGTTCGCTGTGTTTGGTACTTAGTTAGCTGGCTGGCATTCTGACCGTCAGCAAGAGTGGCTGAACGCTGTGGAAAATTTCCTGTGGCTCACAGGTTTGTTTTGCTAATATTATGTACCTGGCTTTCTATCTGAACAGGTGTACCACATAGTGATAACTTGATAGGTAACACAAACTGGCATTGAACACAGCGAACTATGTAGCTAACCTAGCTATCGATCTAACGGTATTGAGAAGTTTAAGGCAAGGGACAGTATAAAACGTAATTCCAACTGTTTCTGTTATCATTGCTTTTTAAATCGCAATAGCTGCTCAAATCGCTAGATTTCAGTTTTTGGCCAGATAAGGGCGTTGAGCTTTAACCAACATAAAGTGCTGCAGTAGTGTGTTCCTGGATATTAAGACACACACTGCAAGCAGCACGAGAAAAAGTTCAGATTTGACACAGTTTTGTAACGGTATGTCTTTTACACAGACATTACACTGCAACATAAACCAGGAATATGTGTCAGAGATAGATTTGAGAAATGTCTAAGGTAAGTTTCTAGCTGCTTAGTGCTTCTCCCCAATTATTACATTAGCTTTGTGTATTTTATGGATTTGTATTATAGAATTTGTCATTCAACCAGACATGCAACTGATTTGTTGCAGCCTTTGATGATATTTTTAATATTTGCCAATCCAAAATAAAGATGAGACTGCCTCCCACTTTGGAGCTGCTGTATACAAACTGCAAATGTGGATTTGCAGTGTTAACACATTGATGACTAGATTCATATTCACAATGAGGCTATCAGTCCTATCTGATAAGAATAAGCTTTAGCAGGGAGAGAAGAATTATCATCGTCTTTTGGTAAACCTGTTCAGCATCTCACACAATTTTTGAACAGGACTTGGATATCAATATCCTAGAAACTCACCTATACAAATGGAACTGCAGTTCTTGTACCATCTGAAGTTGGTTAGAACTACTCTGATTCAGTGTGCAGCTGAACAGCTCAAAAATGTGTAGTTCTGATACCTTTGCTAGTTACAGCCCTAATCCTTGCCAAGTTTTCCATTAGAGTTGTGAATGAGTTTTTGCCTTTCTGAAGACATGTATTGTGTTACAGAGTATAGGTATCACATTCTTAAATTCCAGTTGAATTGCAAATTGGCAATAACAAGTCATTTAATGAACCATTGCACACTATGCTATTGTAGTAAATATTTACACACTCTACAGCAGAGTGGAAATTGTGTACTACTTCTTCCAGTGGTCCTCCAGTTTGCTTATCATCCTTGGCTAAGAAAGGCTAAACACTTTGTTCATATGTTTTGGCACACACTGTTCTTGCATTTTTTTTTTTTGGTATTAGGCCTTTTGAACAATCTGTGTCTATGCATTTAGCCTAAATGCAGGAAGCAGTTTTTTGTCTTGTGAAATTTAAAATAGTTGATTGTGAAACTTGCTCTGTTCAGGCGTTTGTCTGTATTGTTTTTGACAATTTAACTACCCAGTGTTGCCAACACTTAGCTGCTGTTACAAAGATATTTGTACTATAGCTACCAAATAAATGGCTTCCAAAGATAATTTGCAGTGTTAAAAACTTGTTGCTTATAGCAGCAACTAACACCTAAATTTTACTGCACCTTTCTGTGGTAAATCTCAGTGTTGATGTATTTCCGTATCCTTGGTTTTCCTTCATTCTACACATGCACGTTGCAATCTTTCTGCCCCTCTGTATTACATACAGTGTATTTTCCACGACAAACGGGCTGAACAACTGAGTAGTGTGCTTTGGAGGGCCACTTTAACCACATTTGGTGAAAGACTATTTTTTTGCTGCATACTTCCAACACAAATTATGTATTAATTTAGGAAAAAAATATGTAGGAAAAGATTGTCTTTTCGTGACTGTTCAGCGCTACAAATTTCTGATGTGGAATTATTTACATAAACTTTTTCAGAGCAACTACATTTACTGTGTTTCATAAGTGTTGAGAGTAGCTCTCCAGAGTCATCAGTGTTTGGGTGTCAGAGGCCTCCCTGTGCTTAGCAGCATGTTGTCTAGACCTGTGTGTTCTTCCAAAGAAAGGTCATCGGCCTAGTGTGGCGACCTGGCCTGTGTTCTGTGTGTGTGTGTTTGTCAGGACCTGTGTGTAACCTTCATTTGTTACTCAATGGTAAACACAGCTGCAAGGCTATGTCGTGGAGGCCTGGCCAAGACATTAGAATGCTGTCACTTATTATGACCTGCCTCCAATATACCTTGCATATACGTTTTTGATCCATTGATGTGAGATGTTTGTCAAATCAATCAGACCAAGTCCTATAGTAGTTATTAGTTTATCTAGTTTGTTGAGTGTGAATTCATAGATCTTGTAAAGTCAAAAATTGTATGTCATCTCTCAACTCCTTCTAAAAAGGATTTCTTCTAAACTGCAATGCAAAAGTACTCACAAAGTCAGTACACTGAGAAACATCAAACATCTTTACCCAGCCTGTAGTGTAGTAGACTGTTTATTTTGTGGTAGTTCATTTAAATTAGTTTTTCAACATACCACAAAGTCTGTCTGTATAGAAGTTTTGAATTTTAGCATTTTAGCATTTTAGCACTAATGCAATTTCCAATGGTAACCATGGTAATTAATATGATTAGTAGCTGTTAGTGGATATTTGACAGCCAAATTGTTAGCAGACAGCCAATGAGCCAACTCTGGCAGACATAATAACTTATGTGAAAGTGATAACTCTGAAAAAGACTCTTAAATATACATCTGATGGCTTCATACATGATATGATTATAGCAGTGTTTTTAAGGTTGCATATAAGATTTAAGGGCTCAAATGTACAGGTTTCAGACAAAAAGTTTGTGTTCCTAGCATGATCCAAGTAGACGAAAGTGGAAATGGAGAAGCTTTGTTTTTTGTTTCCAGGGTAGAGCCAGTTAGCCTTAGTATTCTAGGACAGTATTATCAGACTTCTTTTTCGTATGACCCTTTTGAAATTCTTACTAGAAAAATATATGCAGAACAGCAACAGAGTGGTTTGATTTTATTTGTTAGTGTTTTCAAGCATTCTGTTTAATTTATAAAAGGGAAAACCTTATGTGTGCAGATTAGCTGATAAGTTTACAAAAGTATGCAGGACAAACATCTGTAAACCCAAGGAAGAGCATTAGAGAACCAGCATTGTGAAGTTAAAGTCTGCTAAAGGGGACAAATTACAAACCAGGACATGTGGTCGTAAAGCCTTAACTTTTTGTAATCTTAACTTGTTTTTTTAAAAAGATTATTTTCTGGGCATTTTTGCCTTTATTGGATAGGACAGTGAGAGAGACAGAGAAAAGTGGGGAGAAGAGTGAGGGAAGCACATGCAGCAAAAGAGCCGCTGGCTGGACTCGAACCACAGCCGCTGTGTTGGGAGCTATAACCCCTGTCACCGTTTTATTCAGTTGAGGTACCGGGGTGCCCTTGTAATCTTAACTTGTAATGACGGCTGCATGATTATGGCCAAAATTATAATTACAATTATTTTGAGCAATATTGATATGATTATTTGTCAAGGTCATGCATTGATTTTAAGAAAAAATATATTTTTTACTGCATTTTCACATTTAAATGAAGCATTGATTTCACTTCCTGATAATTTTACAACTCTTTGCATCATAATTAGGATGATTACTTATTCAGAGGGCATATCCTAGAAGCAAAGTATAAATAAAACTTTATCAAAACTTTTCACTTTCATATGGGTTGGAGTGATGTCGTGTCACTGTTATGGATAATCGAGTTGATCCTGGACAAGGATGGAGATTCACTGAGGTGCAGTCCTAGTACCGCAGTTTGTTGTGTTTTTTCCAGGTGGGTGAACAAGGTAGTTGTGTTGACTGACAGATACAAGCATCATATGCATGCATATGATTTGTTTTTGTTTTACATCACTAAATCAAAAAATATTTACAAACAACAGATACATATTTAGAGGAACTAACTCTTCACCTTGTGCTCCAGACATTTCATTATTGTTCTGCCCATCTGCACTCTGTTCTTTATTACGATTCAGTTCTGAACTGAATTGAAAATCTTTGCACTGTGTATGTGCAGCGGTGTGATGGCTCCCTAAAAGTCAAGCTACAACATCTTGATTGCTCCCTGGAACCTGGCTGTTAGTTTCGAAAGAACTTGATTTGACATGCAGCAGAATTTTGTATGAGCAGAACACACATTTTAATCATCAATATTGCCATTGATCATGTTCGTTTAATTAAGGAAACCTAATGTCGGGACCAAGAATAATATTTGGTTAATTGCGCAGCCTTAATTATAACCCCACAAATAATCAAGATTGCCAATGATATGCTACCTCTTGCCTTGAAAGAATTGCAAAAACTTTCTACTGCAGAAAGTAAGCTTGTCAGATATTCGTGATAATGGTGGTGATTTATGAACAGATAAGTACACTTTTAATTCATACCTTCAAATTTTGCTCGTGTTTTCGGCTTTAGAAAGGAAAAATAAGACACCACCTTTCCAAGTTTCTGGGTAACGAGAAGCACTCTTACTAGAGCTTCCAGCACGCCATTTAGTTTGAAAGGCTTACAATGACCATTGCTAAACTATAAATGGATAATTGCTGTTCTGGGTAGGCATTTACAAAATGGTCAGTTTCTGATTTCTTTTTGATTATCACTAAAAATCATTTGGAGAAGAAGGACTTTGAAGTGGGACTTTCGGAAAGCATAAGGCCTTCTGTAAACCTCACATCTAGATGCTATAGATGTTTTTTTTATTGAGCATAAGTGAAGTCACAATTGATGTGTAGCCCAGCTCCTATACTTATCTGATGGACAGATTCACAAGTTTAGAAAGAAGCTACTGATAACAGAAGTTTTCTTGTACCTCTTTGTTGCTCTGATTTTGAGGATGGGTTTGCATATCTTTTTCAGTTTTATGGTATTTAATGAAAGGGTA